TGTCCTATGACTTTTTATTCACATTGTGTTCTTTGTTTTTTTCCTTCTCTCTTTGTTTTCACATAGTCATAAATACCCATTTTCATTTAAGGAACAACTAGAAGAATAAAATAAAAGCACTATATACAGAAGTGAAAACACCTCATCAGATAAATGCTCAGGGAAGGGAGCTAATGTAAATATTCCACTCAACACTTGACCCTTTTTCAGGAGATAACAGGGGCAGACAACAGTTTCTTTTTCCCTACCTTTTCTTGAAGATGCTTCTTTTTCATAATCAGACTAACTTCCCTGAAGAAGTAGAGCTAATGCAGTCTTAATTTCATCAAAAGATTTTTTTCCTGGAATTTTAAGTGTTAATTGTGATGACTGCCAGGCACTGATATTGAGGAAGAGCAGCAACTCTTTCAAGTTACCTTGTTTTCAGCTTCCAAAAGGTAGGTAAGTAAACCTTACATGACTGAAAACTGAACCAAAATATAAAAAAATCTCTAAAACTACCAACCCCACTCAAATGGTTCATCATACTCCAGTAGCACACAGGATTCATTGAGCATATTCCAAATACATTGAATTCTGTGTCAAAACAACAAACATTAGCTACTTCTCACGTTTACATTTAACAAGATCAACAGGTCCTATGTAATAGAGATGGCTCTATGGTCAAAACTACAGGCAGATAAAGATTTACTGAAATATTTACAGGAATGCTTGCATGAAACAGACTCATGTTCTGGGTTTCAAATTACTCAGATAAACAAGTATTTCTTAAACATTTTTGTTATCTCAAGGACTGTGAGTTACTGTGGTAGGCATGTGATTTTTCAAATAGGAGCCTGCAGAAGCAATTTCAAAAAGAATAAATACAATCTTAGATGAAAGAAAGTACTTCTGTCTTCTCACATAAGCTCTCCTAAACCCAAATAGCAAGCACTTAGTGATCAGACACGCATCCATCTCAGAAAAATCCTCTATTTAAGACTTTCAGAAAACTCTTTGCTAGCCATTTACTACCACAAAGTCTAATTTGTTTATTTAAACAGCTGCAGAAGGAGTAGATGAAGGAGCTGACAAATGCTCATCAGCTCTGTTCTGTTATACTTTCCAGAGGCAGGGCACTCTCCTTTAAAGGGCAGGTAACATCTTAAACTACATCAGGTGCCTGAAAAATTAACATTTACCTACATTCCAAGGATTACTGTTGCTGTACTGGATGATAAGAACAATATCTGAAACCTAATGAGTGATTTCTGCTTGGAAAGGGAACTGATAGAACAAATTACTTCTTCCAAGCCATTTTGTTTATTTACAGTGAGTGGGCACACATTCCTCTTTCTCTGAACACTACTGGAATAAACTGCACCTTTGTTAGCACAGCAGTGTAAACTTGTCTTTTCAGCTACTAATGATCTTTTCCAAAATGTCCTATTGAACACCCCCCACCTGAGCCTCATCTGACAAACATGGCTATCAAAAATTCTGTGTGGTCTTTATTTTCCAAGCAGCTTTCTGAACCTGTGGACAGATGTGCTAATCCAGATCCAGAAGAGGTTTGTGTGATTAAACCCCAGTTATTTAGCTCAGGCCATCAATTCAAACCATGCAAGTTCACTGCATTGGCACAAATGGCTCTGCTGACAAATGTGTGCAGATAGCAATATCCAAACAAGAATGTGTCAATAGTCGGCTTGATGACTTCCACCAAAAACCCCTGAATCTAGAAGTGGGTGTCTGCCCTGATGCTCCTATAACCCCAATAATGCTCTTGGCCCTTTGCTTGCTTCTCTCCTGTGTATAAATGTCCTCACTGAGATGCTGACTACTTCAGATCTATTCTCTGACAGAGGTAACCATATCACTTGCACAGATAGGTAAAAGGGTAGACAAAACCTTCAGTTGGCAGCCCCATAGGAAGAAAGCTTGTTAATTAAACTGTTACATGACCAGCACATTGGACCTCCTAGATCAGTGGCATTACCCAAGATAGAAGCTGAAATCCCTTGCAGTTAACCAAGGTCACTGGCAGCAAGTGTTCCCACCAACTTCAGCTAAGTCTGAGATCCCACACAAACTTAAGCTACAAATGCTGGCAGCTTCCAACATTCTGCACTCCCTGAAATATCGTTCAAAGAAACAAAACCTTTTTAGTTTACTATCTGTCCTTTTCAAGATGTCTTAAGCAGATAACTACTAAGACAAGCAGTGTTTCATTTGTTATTGCAACTGGTCAGACTTTTGTCAATGTCCTTTGTGTTGCTAACCTAAAGTCTATATACAGATTGCCCAAGAGTCCTATTCTTGTCTCCAGACCAATAAGGCTACTTCATTCTTAATTGTGTACAGATAATGTAACTAACCTATGTTTATATTTATATACTGAATAAATATACAGAATGTATGCAGGAACAAGAATATGAAGAAATATCTATCTCCAAAATCTAATCACAGCTGATTTACAAATGAGAAAGAGATCACCAGTATATTGAAGTTTACTTAACAAAGTTTGGTACTGAGACTTACTCATAAACAATATCAATATCAAAAGCACAAAATTTGGTTAATAATTTCCTCTTCCATGTGGATGCATAAACTTCTCTGAATGTTTATTTCTTCTGTCATATATTTGAAAGCATTTGATCAATTTTTAGAACCAAACCACCAAAGCAACAGTTCCTTTGACTGCTCTTTGATCTAATAAAATAACTTCAGCAGCTACATTAGCCTAATGATTAAGTCTGCACTTAGGTATCTCTTCTATGTTCTAAGGTAGAGTGGGGTAGACTTTGCTCTTCACTCTGTAACAAATCATTTTTCTTTTTAATCAAGTAAAATTGTTCTGAGGTTATTTGGCTTTGGAAGTCCATATTTTCCCATTTCTCTTATCTTTAATTCAGTTCACTCTATAAAACTATTCTACATAATTTCAACTTTACTTGTAACGTGTTTTGCTTCCTAGTTTCCAAGTAAGTTGGTAACATTGAATGCAAAAAGTTGCAAAAACACCCCAATGTTATTTTTGAAATCTATGAATGCATCTTTTAAAGGAAACATAACTCATGTCAGGGTTTATATAACTTACACTCTCAATTAAGCCCAAAATTAAGATGCTAGTACTATGGCTCCTTTCATTTCATTTATGACGGTGCTTGCTGTATACTTTCCTATTTATTCTCCTCTGAATACTTTCTCTACATACTATAGTAAATATAAAAAGTAGAACAGTTTTCAACTTACAGCTATCTCTCCCAGACATTTTATTAGACGCTTGCTAAATATTCAACCATAACATACATAGTTATGTCAGTGGTTAAGAGATGAAAGCCTGCATTACTTCACTCAGGAAATGAAGTGCAGGTTTCAGTCCTTTCATTGCAATATCCTTCAGTGCGTGGAACATAAATGTTTTTGCAGTGGATTGTTCAACAAGAGGGTGATGCAATGGCTTACACAGCTAAGCCACTGTATGATTTCTAAGGCCACGGGGTTAATACATAGTGATAAAGTATTCAGTTATAATTGCAGCCTTCATTCCAGTTAAATTGAGTACTGTGAATATTACCCAGCTAAACCCTACTCTGTTATTTAAGAGAAATTTGAATTTTGATTGCCCTGAAATCTAACTGCTTCCACTTCTAGTAACTTAGATTTTCCCACAGCAAAAATCAAATCCACAGGAATTTTAACACTGATAAAATTATGCCAAACATATTGGGGAGTAAGCAAGGTAAGAACTCTTCAAGAAGGCTGTCCATAAAGAAGCACCATATCATGGAAGAAAACCGCCCAGTGACCAGTTCTCAAGTGCAGTTGAAGAGTAAGTAAAGATGTGATAAGAACAATTTTTAAAAAAATATGATTTTTTTTTTCTTTTTTTTCCCCCCAAATAAATCACACTAATACGATGGAAGTTCTTTAATTTTGAGTTTTCTAGACCTCTTATCATCATTGTTGTCTGGAAATCTTGGTTGACAAAAACATAGGGATCAGTGAGAGCATTTTTTACGATCTCCAATATAACACAGTGTGAAGGACTTCTCTGAACAATGGGAACCCCACTTCTTGCTTTAAAAACTCTAGGACAAATTTCTATGATGTCATTAAGACATCATTAGTTTTCCACGTGAAAAGTCGGCCCACAATTAAAAATTACATAATCTGAAATATTCCAGTGCTAGAATGTTAACAAACACCAGTGTTGCAGCTGCCCAGATTGCACTGTAATTATTTTAAACTGAGAAGTGTAGCAATCAAAAATACAGGGTAACATGACTGAATTTCCCCAGACCAAAATAAGTTTGTTACCTGTTAATTTCACCTTACCCTAGGGAAAAATAATTGCTATTAAAGTTAACATATACAAGACAGTAACAAACACACACCTACTAATTTCTGCATGATGTAATTCCTGTGTATTTATTTATTTAAGAATGTCTTTTGAAAGTAATACAATCTTGATCTAAAAATGTAACTGACAGCAAATCTAGTTACATACTGTAGCAAACTGTTAAGTCTTGTCTGCAAAGTTTCAGTCTAGGAATAACTTTTGTCTCCTAATGACAGTATAATACTATTTCTCATTTAATGTATTTTCCCTATACTAATGTGTCTTTATTATCACTATCAATGCATTAATTCCTGACAATTACAGAAATTTGAAGGTGTTTTTATGTTATGTATAGCACTGGTCCTCATTACTGAAATTTTTGACATGAGGAGTTATAACTGTGAACTTAATCTTGAGTCAAATTACCAGAAAACCTTCCCAGCATGTTTTTGGCATTCTCTAACCAGGCAGTACACCATCAATGTGTATCTCTTCTTCTCCAAATACAATCAGGATTTTGTGTTTTCAAAGCATCACGGTCACATAAAAAATACATTAAACAGTGGATAAAAACAGCTAAAACTTTTAAATAGTTTCCTGTAATTGTATTTTTTCCCTTTTGAACTTGTATCTTTGAGAGGATAGACAGTTATGCCTGAGGCAGAGAGTTACTCACTGTGAACAAGGAAGCAAAAATCTTTCCACATCAGCAGCAGAGTAAGCTTTGTGAAGCCTTCTGCATCATATTCCACCACACCACTATCAACAAAAAATAACAAAAATTAATATAATTTTTACTTACCATTCATTCTAATACTGAGCAATAAATACATACATTCTGTATTACAAGGAGTGGTGATGTGTTTGTTTGTTCAGAAACCTCCAGTCTTTGCTTTATTTATTAACAGTTAAAATTTTCTAGCTAAATGAAAATTATTTTAACTTTTCATCTTAATAATCTTTTTACTTATGCTGGTATTGAAGTTTCTTACCTGAAGAAAGGCCATATTCAGTTTATATAAATACACCTTGGAATGAAAGGAGACCTGCTAATGCATCTGTAATACTAAACTGATAAAACCACACAAATTCCCTGTATGTTGCTCGGATTAAGATAATATATTAACTCTGTAGGGAGTGACAGGGCAAAATTAAAAATGTGCAGGCGGAGAAGAGTTTAAATTTGAAAATTCAAAAGCATACACATAAAAAAGTGCAAAACACAACTGCACGCACAAAAAATAAACCTAAAAGACTTGTTTAGTAAATGGATTAAAATTTTCAATCATGAAGAGTCCGTATTCTTGATAATTCTCAAGCAGTATCAGGACTCATGAACCACTCTGCAAATGGAATAAAATCATAGGCATACTTGGGCCATTTCTATGCTGTAGTTTTCTCAGAAGAAAAAGAAGTATCTTGTTTTCATAAGGACTAAGCTTGCATTGACTCTACCTACCTGTATGCCCAATTCAAGTCACTGTTATCTACATATAGTATAAAATTCAGGTGTGTGCCAGAAGCCACCTGTCTTCCTACCCTCACTTCAGAGACCTGAGATTTGAAGGGCTCCCAAATAATCATGTCATTTGGCATCACCACTCCTCGATAGCAGAAACCCCCTCCCTGCAGTGAGGTAGGGCACTGCTGGTCAGGCAGTCACTGCCACATCAGCTCCTGAACTCTCGCTGAAGTGCGGATTTAGGTGGGAAACCAAAGTGCCTACCCTTGACAGTGCCAAGGCATCCCTGACTACTCGATTTGTGAAGAAAATGTGTTGTCATGTCATGCTGTGTACCTCTGAACTACAGGGATTCAATACAACCTGACAGGCATTTCTCTCAAGAGAAAAAATACTGCTTGGTGGTTGGAGCAGTTGGTCTCCTAGTCCTGTCTTTACGCCAAGCAGTGGTTTCTGGCTCCTGCAAGTCTTGGAACTGTAGCTACTTCCCTGTCCTCCCACCTCAGGCACTGCCTATTACTGTAAGACCTCGCCAGTAACTTCTTTCTGCTGTCCTTTTCCCCTCATTAGTTATTTTCTAGTAAAATCAGATCAGCAACTGGCACAGAAGTGAATTAACACCGAACTTCATTCCCATACTACTTCAGAGAGACAATCCACACACATTGTTCAGTGAAAAATGACCAGAGGGTGGTAAGACACTGGCACATGTTGCCCAGAGAAACTATGGAGACCCCATGACTGCAAGTGTCAGAGGGCAGGTTGAATGGGGTTTTCGGCAACCTGGTCTAATGGAAGGTGTCCCTGCCCATGCAGGTGGGTTGGAAGTAGGTGATCTTCAGGGTTCTTTCCAACCCAAACCATTCTATGATTCTATGATTGTCCAGCGGAAAACAACCAAAGACCATGGGCTTAAAGCAACACCTTCCCCCATGCTACAGAAAACCATGCATCAAAAGAAAACTTACGTTCCAAAGTGACTCAGGAAAGCTGCAATATACTCTCTTCTCTTATGGTATCCCTGAATAACATATTGTACCTTAAAAAAGAAAGAAACAAATCCACAGCTATAAACAGATAAAAGAAGCCAATGCTCACACCTAGTCATATATTCCTTGTTAAGGAAGATTCATGTTTGACATGGTAGTAGTTCTGAATCCTACATTTAAATTGCATGATTTCCCTGAAGAATCCTTAAATGCCTTTAAAACAAATAGCGGATCTTGCACAGAAAAAATATTGAAAAAAATATCTTCACTCACTTCTGAGTGAAACTTAAGTCTTTTGTGATATAGTGAAGTGCTGTTTAACTGTGCAAGATAAAGAGTAAAGAAAAGAAAAGCACAACGTTGTCTTGCTGAAGTTTGATCAGGAAGCCACAAGGGGCAAATCATAATTACCTCAACTGACAGTTATGTATCAAAGTAACATTCAGGCTACAAAAGAAAAAAAAAGTAAAAATTTCACAACTGATTCTGGGTGTTTTCTGAAGTCTGCACCTCCAACAAAATTTTCTCAACACTAAGCTCTCTCAGTGGTTTCATGCTGACTCAAGGAACCACCTACTCAACAGTAAACATCAACTTTTGAGGCATTCTGGGTTTTGAAAGAGTTCCATCCTGGCACAGACAAAATGTGACAATGTGAAACTTGGAAGACCAAAGTAAATTCTCCTCACACCATGTATGTTCTCTTATGGATTTGAATGGGATTACTTAGCAGAACAGTGTGAACAGGGTTTCACCCTGGGTTTGACACACAGTGCATGAGCTGTCAGGCTGAAAGAGCATCTGGTTTACAATTGGCTACTTCATGTACTTAGGATATGGTTCCATATGTGATTCCCTATTGCCTTACAGAATGAAAACTAACATTTAAATTTCTCCCTACTGAACATGAACAGAACAGGAATAATATTTTTTGGCTATGGTAATACTAGAAATCCTTGGCTGGCAAACGCTTTCCTAAATTTTTTTTTTAAGTCTGGAGACTCAATTTAAAAGAACTGTACAAATAGTTTGAAGGCTTTGTGTGGGATCTGAAATGTTATTTTGGGAAAAGTAAAACATACGATAAGTTTGCTAAAGGGACTTTGTTTAAGAAAGGATAAAAACAGTCCTGTGTACTTGCAGATTTTAAAAACAGAAAGTAATTTTAACAGAAAACCACAACAAAAACAACTCTCAAGATAGATTCCAGTATAATTATGGAAACACATTTTTAAGAACTTCTTCTAAAAGAGAAAATAATTTTCCTGATTTGGACAAATAAAGGTAAAAATAATACACAAATACAAGTTCTGTAACAGATTCCTACATGTTGGCCCCTAAGCTTTCTTTTGAAGGTTACACTTCAGTAATGGAGAAGCTTTCAAAATACTATACTCACGTATTTTTGTTTAAACAGTAAGCTAACCGGAACACAACCTTTTCAGCAACCTTAAGTAGCTCTTACTGTATAAATACCCAAGTAGACTGCTGATTCAGTTCATTTGGATGAAACATCTGAGAAAAAAAACACTGAAAGTACTCAAAACCTACAATGACTACTATGATATGAGAACTTAGATATCTTCCAACTGGAAAAATAATAGGCAAAGTACACAGTTGTATTTACTAGAAACAGTATGTTACAATACAGTGCTGTATGATGCAGTGACGTTTAATTCTAAATTGTAACATGTCACAGTAAGAAAAATCCACTCCAGGATCTGATCCAAAATGCTTCTGTTGACCTAAAAAGAGTCATTATGTTTCAATGACCTCTGTAGGTGCTCAACTCTTATCAAGAAGGTATTCTTAGAGTAGTTCACCTTAAGTATGCTCTGCTTGCACTACCTGGTAGAAGAAAAATGTATTCTATGGAAATGCTACAGTGTGTTACTGCAATACAGTACAGTACATAAGGGAAAGGAAAATGGAATTCTCTTTACTAACTTACCTTGTTTGTTAGCAGCTGGCATACTTGTGGTACATAGTCGATAAGACAACCTCCACTAGGAAAGGCTGGGATATGAAGGGCAGATGATCCTCCAAGTGCACTAGAAATAGAAGTTAATTTAACAGTACATTATTTGTACAGTCCCTGGGATTTGAAAGAGATTTCTACAATGTTTTCTTTCCCAATGCTTAAAGTCAGAGGGCCATGATGGGGAAGTGTATTTTATGCTGTGGCAATATAAAAAATACTGAGTGATACCATCTATAAAACCAGGTCATACCATGACCCACTGTAATTAAACTACTTTAATCAAGAGTACCACTAGTGCAAAGCATTGTCTGAAAAAAACAGCTTTTTCACTGTGAACAGTTCTGTTTCTTACCCCTCTTTGATAAGATGTGGAGCACTGTAGTTAAGATACCTAGTTACTGAGGAAGGAGAGGACTTTGAGTCCTGAATTATTCAGAAAGCCAGGTTCAGTCAAACCAGCTAAAAATAAGCAAAATAATTTGGACTGAGGAACAATAACTTGGACATGGCAATACGCAAATGTCTGCCATGACATCTACTCCAGATTTGGGCCTCCCAGTACAACACAGATGTTCACCTAATAGACAAATGGGGCAGCGAGCCCAAAAGTTTATTAGGTACATGATGTAAGGGGAATGCTGAAGAAAATGGCAGATCAGCAACTGGCACAGAAGTGAATTAACACCGAACTTCATTCCCATACTACTTCAGAGAGACAATCCACACACATTGTTCAGTGAAAAATGACCAGAGGGTGGTAAGACACTGGCACATGTTGCCCAGAGAAACTATGGAGACCCCATGACTGCAAGTGTCAGAGGGCAGGTTGAATGGGGTTTTCGGCAACCTGGTCTAATGGAAGGTGTCCCTGCCCATGCAGGTGGGTTGGAAGTAGGTGATCTTCAGGGTTCTTTCCAACCCAAACCATTCTATGATTCTATGATTGTCCAGCGGAAAACAACCAAAGACCATGGGCTTAAAGCAACACCTTCCCCCATGCTACAGAAAACCATGCATCAAAAGAAAACTTACGTTCCAAAGTGACTCAGGAAAGCTGCAATATACTCTCTTCTCTTATGGTATCCCTGAATAACATATTGTACCTTAAAAAAGAAAGAAACAAATCCACAGCTATAAACAGATAAAAGAAGCCAATGCTCACACCTAGTCATATATTCCTTGTTAAGGAAGATTCATGTTTGACATGGTAGTAGTTCTGAATCCTACATTTAAATTGCATGATTTCCCTGAAGAATCCTTAAATGCCTTTAAAACAAATAGCGGATCTTGCACAGAGAAAATATTGAAAAAAATATCTTCACTCACTTCTGAGTGAAACTTAAGTCTTTTGTGATATAGTGAAGTGCTGTTTAACTGTGCAAGATAAAGAGTAAAGAAAAGAAAAGCACAACGTTGTCTTGCTGAAGTTTGATCAGGAAGCCACAAGGGGCAAATCATAATTACCTCAACTGACAGTTATGTATCAAAGTAACATTCAGGCTACAAAAGAAAAAAAAAGTAAAAATTTCACAACTGATTCTGGGTGTTTTCTGAAGTCTGCACCTCCAACAAAATTTTCTCAACACTAAGCTCTCTCAGTGGTTTCATGCTGACTCAAGGAACCACCTACTCAACAGTAAACATCAACTTTTGAGGCATTCTGGGTTTTGAAAGAGTTCCATCCTGGCACAGACAAAATGTGACAATGTGAAACTTGGAAGACCAAAGTAAATTCTCCTCACACCATGTATGTTCTCTTATGGATTTGAATGGGATTACTTAGCAGAACAGTGTGAACAGGGTTTCACCCTGGGTTTGACACACAGTGCATGAGCTGTCAGGCTGAAAGAGCATCTGGTTTACAATTGGCTACTTCATGTACTTAGGATATGGTTCCGTATGTGATTCCCTATTGCCTTACAGAATGAAAACTAACATTTAAATTTCTCCCTACTGAACATGAACAGAACAGGAATAATATTTTTTGGCTATGGTAATACTAGAAATCCTTGGCTGGCAAACGCTTTCCTAAATTTTTTTTTTAAGTCTGGAGACTCAATTTAAAAGAACTGTACAAATAGTTTGAAGGCTTTGTGTGGGATCTGAAATGTTATTTTGGGAAAAGTAAAACATACGATAAGTTTGCTAAAGGGACTTTGTTTAAGAAAGGATAAAAACAGTCCTGTGTACTTGCAGATTTTAAAAACAGAAAGTAATTTTAACAGAAAACCACAACAAAAACAACTCTCAAGATAGATTCCAGTATAATTATGGAAACACATTTTTAAGAACTTCTTCTAAAAGAGAAAATAATTTTCCTGATTTGGACAAATAAAGGTAAAAATAATACACAAATACAAGTTCTGTAACAGATTCCTACATGTTGGCCCCTAAGCTTTCTTTTGAAGGTTACACTTCAGTAATGGAGAAGCTTTCAAAATACTATACTCACGTATTTTTGTTTAAACAGTAAGCTAACCGGAACACAACCTTTTCAGCAACCTTAAGTAGCTCTTACTGTATAAATACCCAAGTAGACTGCTGATTCAGTTCATTTGGATGAAACATCTGAGAAAAAAAACACTGAAAGTACTCAAAACCTACAATGACTACTATGATATGAGAACTTAGATATCTTCCAACTGGAAAAATAATAGGCAAAGTACACAGTTGTATTTACTAGAAACAGTATGTTACAATACAGTGCTGTATGATGCAGTGACGTTTAATTCTAAATTGTAACATGTCACAGTAAGAAAAATCCACTCCAGGATCTGATCCAAAATGCTTCTGTTGACCTAAAAAGAGTCATTATGTTTCAATGACCTCTGTAGGTGCTCAACTCTTATCAAGAAGGTATTCTTAGAGTAGTTCACCTTAAGTATGCTCTGCTTGCACTACCTGGTAGAAGAAAAATGTATTCTATGGAAATGCTACAGTGTGTTACTGCAATACAGTACAGTACATAAGGGAAAGGAAAATGGAATTCTCTTTACTAACTTACCTTGTTTGTTAGCAGCTGGCATACTTGTGGTACATAGTCGATAAGACAACCTCCACTAGGAAAGGCTGGGATATGAAGGGCAGATGATCCTCCAAGTGCACTAGAAATAGAAGTTAATTTAACAGTACATTATTTGTACAGTCCCTGGGATTTGAAAGAGATTTCTACAATGTTTTCTTTCCCAATGCTTAAAGTCAGAGGGCCATGATGGGGAAGTGTATTTTATGCTGTGGCAATATAAAAAATACTGAGTGATACCATCTATAAAACCAGGTCATACCATGACCCACTGTAATTAAACTACTTTAATCAAGAGTACCACTAGTGCAAAGCATTGTCTGAAAAAAACAGCTTTTTCACTGTGAACAGTTCTGTTTCTTACCCCTCTTTGATAAGATGTGGAGCACTGTAGTTAAGATACCTAGTTACTGAGGAAGGAGAGGACTTTGAGTCCTGAATTATTCAGAAAGCCAGGTTCAGTCAAACCAGCTAAAAATAAGCAAAATAATTTGGACTGAGGAACAATAACTTGGACATGGCAATACGCAAATGTCTGCCATGACATCTACTCCAGATTTGGGCCTCCCAGTACAACACAGATGTTCACCTAATAGACAAATGGGGCAGCGAGCCCAAAAGTTTATTAGGTACATGATGTAAGGGGAATGCTGAAGAAAATGGGCTTGTTCAGTCTTAAGAGAACAATGGGAGGGAGGTGACATTGAAGAGGACAGTTGAAGGCATATTGTTATTGAAGGTCTGTTGATGTCTTCAATTATCTAATGGAAACATATAGAGAAGATGGAGCCAGAATCTTCTCGGAAGAGACAGGATGAAAGGCAATGCAGACATGTTGCAACAAAGGAAGTTCTGATTAGCTATTAGGAAAAACACCTTCACAATGAGAGCAACCAAATACTGGAAGACAGGCCCAGAAGGGCTGGGCAACTCTGTCCTCAGAGGTGCTCAAAGCTCAGCTGAACAACTGCCATGAGCACGCTCATCTCAGCTGGCCCTGCTCTGAGGAGGTGCTTGGCCAGGTAGCCTCCAGAGGTTCTTTCTAGTCTACGATGTTCTACAATTGTATTTCCTGATTTTGTGATTTTGTTCATCCCCAGAAGGAAGTAACATGAACAAAGTTATTAACTCTGTTCATGCACAGACTGTAAATCTGAATGGTAGGAATCCACTGAAATAAAATAATGTCAGAGGTGTATTTAGACACCTTAATCAATTGCCTTTATCAGAGGATGGAAGACTGAAGGACACCTGCTGCTGCTGAGGATAACAGCTTCTTAGGTGTGGAAAGATCTAGCACTTTTTATTTAAATCACGTTGTGTAAGACAACAAACTGCTGAAGTCCATGCTACTTTCTTTTTGGAGTATTGGTCTAAACCTTTCTTACAGTCTTTTACCAATCAAAAGATATATGAATTTGCATTACACACTATGGCTTACATCAGTCACTAAACGCCCATAACCTTGTTGGGTAAAATTTAAAAGTTTCAAAATCTGAATTACTTTGTGGCCTCCTATTTACATGTTGTTTCCATAAAAGATTAAACTGGCTGGAAAGAAAGTTCTCTGCAAAATAAGGCTCTTATTCTCCAAGGGGGCCTGACCTTGTATTCTCCTCAGTACTTGATAAGATGTCACTTCAGTAGGTATAAAGGTCTACAGTCTTAAATCCCTATGAAGGAACAGAGCCCTACATAAATAAAAAAAAATCCCAAACTCATAATGAGGTATATGGAAATCTGCTACTCAGGCAAAACAGTCTGGGTTGAGCAGACTGTTCACCACATGGAACAGTTCTGCAGGTCTGTATTTTGCATATGCAATGATGAAAAAATAAAAAAGCCTTGAGCACACCACAGCAACATTAAAAAAACAAACAAACTTTTCCAGCAGAAGAAAGACTTGAACAGGATTTTTTTTTTTTAAGTAGGATTCAGTTTCTTGCTGCTACCCTCTTACTTACACAGTACTTACAATATTACTTACGTAGGAATAAAATTCTGCTATTTGTGGCTGTTAAAAAAAGTGAAGCATGACCAGTGAGATTATTACCAAATTGAAAAACTTCTGAAACAGTAGTTTGCTTTCAGGAAACTTAAAGTGTGCTGGGTCCATCAGTATTTAATGTTTGAGAATGAAAGACTTGTCTCTCTTGGTATGTTACAAGTGGGTTGTGTACCTTACTTTAAGGCCTTGGCTTTCAGTTTATTAAACTCCTTAAATGCTTATGTAAATATATCCAAAAAGCCTCCAACACAGAGTAAATGGTACTGTCCATTTTGCATCCTGCCTTGCCTTATTTGCAATCCAGTCCAAGCTCCGCCCCAACATGGAGATACCACTGGAGATGCTCAGAAGACTACAGCAGGACTTAATGGCTCCTCTCTTGGTTACAATAGCAGGCATGAAATTAGGAGTAATCTCTAACAGATTTAATTTGCAGAAAAGTTTCTACTCCTGTATCGTCAACTTCCAATACATCTTCCGAACTGAATTATTATGATTTGTGAATAAAGGTTTCCCATTTTACCTGTATACCTCCTTTGAAAGTAGTCAATCCATAAAAACTTGTTGACAGAAATGGGAATTCAACCCTTCTCAAATGAAAAAGACTTCTATGAGGTGTGGTTTCTCAGAAAGAGGTCCCTCCACAGAAGGAAGGCTGGAATTTCTAGTATAATTATGCTCTGAAAACAGCATAAAGCTGTACAATATGTAATTTATGTTCTGCAGAAATAATTATGGGTAGGGAAAATTAAGAGTGGACAAGCACCTTTGTTCCCTCTACTGGGTCAGAGAATATGCTTATTAAGTATTTTAATAAAACACTTCATTTGCACAGGAACTTGCTCCGACCATCTCAAAACTTCTTATTAACATTCTGCAATTAACATTCATCTGCCTTATGAAAGTGATATGTATCTCTTCTTTTTAAACATGTAAGGAAGCTATTGCTGAGTTTGATTTGACTATGTTGAACCATGTCTGTCATGCCAAAGGAACATACTTGCAGTACTTCACAACCACGAGACAGGGTGAAAGGCCACAAGAATTCCTTTGACCTTATAATAAACCTGCAGCTGAAGAAAGAAGTGACATACTCAACATCAAAGAAGGAGGACCTGTAAAGCATGCAAGGGAATACATAAAATAAGGCAAGGCTATTTCAGTATCTAATGCTGCTTTTTGATGTTCCTCAAAGCCCAATCAAAAGAAAAGTTGTAGAAAAAAAAAAAAAGGAAGCCTTAAGAAGGCTTTTATGGTCAAGGAAATTCTATTTGCCAAGAGATTCCACCAGTGCAAGCTGAAGATTCCTGTACACCAGGCCTGCCTTCCAGAGAGCCAAGCCTGTTGGAGGATAGATCCTGCCTTTGTGATTCAGCTTTCCTTCTTGGCATCACTGTTACACACCCTTCATAAATTAAACACATTTTTATAGCCAGCAGTAAAAACAACCATAACATCACACTATCAGGTTTGATGACATTCATTGTATCAAAACCACCAAAAAAAATCAAAAAACAAAAAAACCACCCAGAGATATGATGAAGTTATTTTGTTTTTAACACAAATGAATTAATTTTGCTGTCCTACATGTGCCAGAGTTAGTCTAGATTCAGCACAACCAATCAAATTGTGTTTGATTTTTACACAGTTCTTTTCCAGTAACCTGCTACTCTTTAAAGGCTAAAATTCTAACAGATTCTGATATTGGCTTTCTATAATTTATCATTCACAAAGCAAAAGTCTTAGTGGATGCTACTTCATTAGGACTGGTACCAGATGAATATAAATACATGGCATATCTACCTACGAGAAATGGTTGCATGAACACATTGGAACATGGAGACAGAACTCTTGGACTCAAGAGTTTTATTCTGTACTGGGTTTGCACAGCCAGGTTTGGTAGTAGGGGAGCTACAGAGTGTGAAGCTGCTAGAAGCTTCTTCCATGTCTGATAGTTGATGCCAGCTGGCTCCAAGATGGACATGCTGCTGGCCAAGGTGGTAGCATCTCTGTTACAATATATTTAAGAAGGGGAAAAAAAGTTGCTGTCCAACAGCAACTGCAGGTGTAGAGAGAAGTGAAAACATGAGACAGAAACAACTCTGCAGACACCAAGGGCAGTGAAAGACAGGGAGGAGGTGCTATAGGCACCAGAGCAGAGCTTCCCTGGCAGCCTGTAGTGAAGACCATGGTGACACAAGCTGTCCCCCTGCCAGGCTATGAAGGTCCACAGTATCCACAAATATCCAACTGAAGCACATGGAGGACCCTATGCCAGAGCAGGTGTAAGCCTGAAGAAGGCTGTGACCCTGTGGGAAGCCTGCACTGGACCAGACTCCTGGCAGGACCTGTGGACCCATGGAGAGAAAAGCCCACAATGCAGCAGGTTTTCTGGCAGGACTTGTGATCGATCTCATGGGGGATCCATGCTGGGGCAGACTGTTCCTGAAGAACTGTAGGCCAGGGGGAAGGACTCATGCTGGGAAAGTTCATGGAGGACTGTTTCCCACGGCCGTGACCCATGCTGGAGAAGGGGGAAGACTGTGAGGAATCCTCCCCATGAGGAGGAAGAAGCAGCAGAGACAATGTGTGATGAACTGACCACAGCTCCCACTGCCCATCCCCCTGTGCCACTGTGGGGGAGGCCTTAGAGAAATCAGGAGCAGAGTAATTTAAGTCAGGAAGAAGAGGGGGGTTGGGGGCAGGTGTTTTAAAGTTTGGTTTTATTTCTCATTACCCTACTTGGGTTTGATTTGCAAGAAAATAATTTCCCTGAGTCAAGTTTTGCCCATGACAGTAATTGGTGAGTGATCTCCCTGTCCTTATCTTGACTCACAAGCCTTTAGTTATATTTTCTCTCCCCTGTCCAGCTGAGAAGGGGAGTGGTAAGAGCGGCTTTGGTGGGCACCTGGCCTCCAGCCAGGGTCAACCCACCACATACTCTCTATTACTCTAAACCTACTCGGCTCTCCAAACCAACTTCATACACCTTTTTAAGACAAACCATAAACTCCTTTGCAGCAAGTTCCTGCTTTCCTGGCTTTCCAGAGTGCCAGACACAATGTGGTTCTGAT